CTCAAACTTCAAACCGACTCGAGTTATTCGTGTTGACTGCACTGATTCAGATCGATCCACGATTAAGGCTGATCGTGAGAAGCGCTATTATTGTTAGTTATCTGTCGAGGTGTGTCTCTATCCGGTGCTATATTATGTTGTGTTGATTAATTGTTTGTCTGAATGAAAAATTGATTGAAACATGATTGTATTGTGGTATTGTTGAGTTAATTAGAATTCAAATAAGCATATTGATTGGAAGTTGATTTCGAGTTTGATGGTTATGTGACATTGATGCATCTGGTGAAATTCAGAAAAGTATGATATGTGATATTTGTTAATTTATCGGACTCATATTATTTGTGTATGTAATTATTACATTCGGATCATATCAAAATTCGAATTATGATATTCGATTATGCGTTATTTAGATATATGTTATTCGGATCGAATATGTGTGCCATTTGCAAGTCATTATTGGGACAATTTTTGATAGGGGAAGTTCAATGCATTCACTCGACGGGGAGAATGTCACTTTTTTGGATTCAATGATCACTGTTTTTGTGGCGGACCCCTCTCTTCGGATATAAAATGATTGTAGTTTGCGTGGTTCTAGGGAACCCACTCACTGATGGAGTGTTTGGAGTATGGGTGGGTGCATAAGCATTTGCATAACATCCGAATTATGTATATTACTGTTTGACTCGGATTATGATTTATTATTGGTTGATTTCGGATCATGAATATATCTGATTGAATCGAACTGTGTATTTGTTTGTGTTTTGACTTGTGTTTGTTGCAGTTTAGAGACACACTAAGCCTTGTAGCTTACTCCCCTTAGTTTCTCTCTTTCAGATAATTGTACTTAAGAAAATCGATACTTGGAGAATCACAGTCATCACTCATAATAAAACTTTATTTCAGTATGAATTTTATTTGACTTTTCTTTATCAGACTTTACTTATAATATTTTATAAATTATTTTTATTACTTGTAATTAGGACTTCAGACATTAAAATAAATTTTGAGATTATTTATGCATGTTTTATATATTTATTTTTCAAATCGGATTTCCTCATACTATTATTTTATTAATAAATCTTGAAGTTGAATTTGAGAAATGTTTTCGTAATATTAATATTAAATTTTGAGTTTTGAATCAGAAATGGTTTTGTGAGGGACAAGTTTCAACATGATTCTCTAGATTCGACCTTATTTCTTCTAGGTCGGGTTTAGGGGTTACATGATAGGAGGGAGTCGGAGGTTTTGATCAATGGACTTAGATGATTCTCAAATGGAAAAAAATGGTTTGAAGTTACTTTTGCTGCTAGATTTTTTTTGATCAAGTGGGAAAAAAATGGTTGAAAGTTACTTTTGCTGCTAGATTTTTTGATTGTGACTTAGAAGATATCGGGCAAGCATCTTTGACATGTTGAGTCTTCCTGTTTTTGCAATGGTAGTGATGCAATACTGCCATTGTTTGGTGTAACAACCTGCCAATTCGTTGCATGTACTTGTTATATTGTCATGAGGCAATACATTCTGTATATTTTCTCAAAAATTGCTTTTGTGTATATCCTGTTGCAATCAATTGTTTTTTACGGCCTTGCAGTACTTGTTCCTTCCTGGTATCAATGAGAATGATAATGGGTTTTTTTCTCATCCTCCAAATTGTGCTGTATTATCTTTGCGGTGTGGCCTTTTCCCTTGTCTTCTTGCTTACACGTGAATGTGTATTTCTCCAGTTGTACTGCACGAGTTTTTTTTTTCTTGAGTTTACCCTACTTTTAATGGATGTACTTCTGTAAGATGCTGACTGACATATCTTATCCTCTTTAGAATGAGGAAAATATAATAGCTTTAGATTTTGGAATGTTGGATAACCTTACTGAGTAACCATGCTACTGTTTTATAGGGTTATTTTTTAACTTTGTAAACGAAACAATCAGGAGACTGACAAAGGTTGTTTATGAAAGGTCTGATGAATGTTAAGTCAGTTGGTGACGAGAGGAAAGTAAGGGTTTATTTATGAAAGGAACACTTCCGGCCTTGTCTAAATATCATATATTCTTGATTTGGCTATGAGTTCTTTTATTTGTCCTAGAAAGAGTGGCAGGCATGCTGTTACACCTTGCATTTTATGCTGTAATGGGTAGATTATTGTGGCGGGACATGCAATTTTAGCAAATATTAGATGGTGTTTTTAGGCTAAGGGCTGTGATGACAAGTGATAAAATCATCCAACATTGGCTAGATTAAGATGGGCTTTGCAATTTTAACCTGTTTCCTATTTGTGTTGTTGATTTTTTTAGAAGGTTTCAGAAAGTTGCTTGTAATTGACTAATTGTCGCTAAGTTATGCAGTCGGGTGGAGTTCAATAAGTTGGCTTTGTGAATGGATTTTTAAGGGATCTACATTAGAGAAATAAATCTAACAGACTTCAGGTGTTGAGCAATTGTCTAGTGGGGTGGTGTAAGGATTTTGTCAAAATTGGTCATCTCGCTAGACAAATGCAAGCGAAGGGCCTCACTAGCTTCACCTTAATGAGAGCTGCTGGAAATGCGTTTTTAATGATTTTCGAAGATAATGCTTCTTTGAGAAGTGTGAAAAACGACAAATCAAAGATTCTCGCAGAGTGGTTCTCCATTGTCAAAGTTTGGTCAGAGAGTTTGGTAATGGAGTGTCGTCGAGTATGCTTAGTTTGCTAGGGTGTTCCTTTTCACGCATGGAATTGGGATACTTTCAAGAACATTACGGATAAGTGGGGTCTTTTACTAGCTATCGACGAAAGTTGTCAGTCTCCATCATCCTTTGATCGGGCAAAAATTCAAGTTCTCACAAAGGCTGATGCGAGAATTGATGCGATGGTTGAATTGAAAGTTGGTGACAACTTCTTCAAGGTCATGGTGCATGAGATAGAGCCTTCATTCAAACCATATTCTTGGGCTCCTAAAGAAGACAAGTCTCTTTAGATCTTGTCTCTTCATTCGTGGTTTTGTTTTAGTCTATATGATTGTAGGTGTTGCTTTTATTTGTATTATGTTTTGTGGCGTTGTTTTAGTCCTACTGTTGGTGGTGTAATTAGAAGTATGGTGATTTGATTGTGGCTTTAGATGAGGGTATTTGAGGTTTAGGTGTTTGTTGTAATGGGGTATATCACCATGAGAGGATATTCCGTGGTGTCTTTTGTATCGGGTATTATTATTAATAAAATATGAGGTACTCTTTTCTTCTTTCCAATGTTCGTTAACATACTTTTAATATGGGAACGAATATGAAGAGAGTTTTTAATGAGACCTCCAACTGCTATAAAAAAAAAGTGCCTGTTTTGCCAATGTAGCTGGACAGGTTCAAAGGTACTAGTCTTGGATTTTATAGGGCCTTGCCCCTTTAAAATACATTTACCTACATTTTACTGGCAACTGGTAATCTAAAACTTTTGGCTTTTGAAATCTTGTTTCTCATATGGAGGATGATCTTATATAAGCCTTATCCATGCGTGTGCTCGTACCAAGTTTTCTGACAGTGTTCACTGTCATTTTCTTATGATTAACAGATGCAAATGCATATTAGTGAGTTGCGTTTTGTCATTCTGTTGAGTCCACTGGTAGTCTTTGTATTTTTTTGGACAAGTTCCCTTTTGTTCTTGAGGAAAACAATAAATTTCGTCGATGTATCTTGGTCACTTGAGCAAGTGCGGATGTAGATTTGTTGATATACGAAGAATGGGTTTAAGTACATATTCACCTCATTGTTATAGACAGTTTAGACATCTGATGCTAATGGCAAAGAACACGGTACAAGAATCAACGATAGTCCCATTGGTGTAAAATTCTTGGCTAATATTTGGGAGATTCTATAATTTCAAGTATAGTTCTTGTACGATTATGATGTCAACACCATCACTTTCCCTAGCAGAATTATGGTTCAATACTTGATTACTTTCTTTTTTTCCCCTTTTAGTTGTTTATTTTTGTTTTCCGGTGTCTTATTGGACATTGAATTATTCGTTGTTGGTTGAATAAGAAGTTGGAACCTTGGAAAATGCAAGGGCTACTGCAGATTATGGCAGTTTGAATCATCGTGTGAAGCCTATGAAAATGTGCACATAAGTGGAAGACTACAAGTTTGTTGTTGAGAGGATGTGAGAAACTATAAATGGAGACAAATTGATAAACCCTACTTTCTCACTGTCAATCAGACCTACTTTTGAGGTCCAAAGCTAAAGAACTTTGACGTTGACCGAGCATTCAATGGTTCCCAGAGCTGAGTATTAAGGATCATAACTTCCTCATCTTTTGACTTGTCTATCATCTTTTAATATGGGCATATTGCACGCTGACAGCATGTAACTGGCTGTGATTTTAAGCATTCTGCTGGCCAATATGGTCTGAATTCTTGCATCATTATTTCCTGAAATTTGAGAACTTTTGACTGTCTGAACTATCTTGATTAATTGCGTGCCTTTCTGGCTTTTCCCATTAGTATTTAGCCTGCTTTAATATTTCAGGTGAATATCAGGGACACTGCCCTGAGATAGACTCTTAGGAGAACATTTAACTTGCATTTCCAGTGACGCGCATCTATTTTTAGTACTCTTAGCAAGTGTTCTCAGATAATATCTAAGCTTAATTCTTTTTTTTTTCTTTGAGCCACTGTAAGTCTGTAATGGCATACTCTCTTATATCCATATGCTGCATTCGATATTTCACTTTTGAACAAGATTCTTTATTCTGGTTGACACGAAAAGAGAGTTCCTTTACTTGATCTAGCTCTTTAACTCTTCAACATGGATTTGGTGCATTTAAAATTCTACATAGTACTAATATTTGTCTCAAAATTTGACCTCGGGACGATGGGAAAAGGGTGTTTACTTCTTTTTGATGCTGAACAAAACTGTCAATAATTCTGTAATTCTATTTATTTACTTTGTTTAGCTTAGAAATTATTGTCGAGTTTGAAATGAAGGTGGAGGCCAGGACTGGAAACCTTCAGATGCTGCCAACTTCGATTCCGTGTGTTTACTTGTAGGTAAAAACGGAGGTTAATATTTTTCAATTGAACTACGTTTATAGATTACAGTATTTATGTTACAAAATTGTACTCTTCACATTAGGACTGGTACATGGTGAATCAATCAAAGTTCCAGCATGAATTCCTAAAGACACCGGGAGAATCTGCAATCTTGTGGAGAGTTAACACAACGAACGACATTGAGGAAGGGGCTTTCATCACAAGGAATGCAGAGTCTGGAATCGGTGGCGAAACCATACTCGTCTCGAGCTCGATCCAGCAATGCCTTGAAAAGTGGGTGCTTGAGCAAGGTGGTTTTAATCACAAACCTTTTATAGTCTTTACCAACATACACTGCTAAGTGACCCTTTGGCACATTCCTTGGGATTGAGCTCCTTTCATGCATGGAGTTTGGCCAATTAGCCCACTTATAACTGAACTCGCAACCGTCACAACGTGGACCTCTACTACTCATCTTCCTCCATTTGGTAAGGTATGCCTTGAGAAAATTCTCTTTCATGTTCTTCCTACGGAATTATTAGTAGTATACTGTAGGTTATGTAAAGTTGTAGGAATTATAGAAATGAGCTGTTCAATTCCTTAAATTAAGAGATTCTGTAATTATGCTTTGTTTTTCAATCCCTTGTTTCAAGGGATTGCATCTCCTAGGATTAGTATATTTCCTAATTTAGAGTTTCTTAGTTTAGAGGCATTATTTGTATATAAATATGTAATATACTCTACTGAATGAAATAAGAAAACATAACAGACTATTTTGTTTTCTACAGTTTGTTTTTTACATGGTATCAGGTTAGAACGATCAATCCGATTTATGCTTCTCTTTAAATTAGTTCATGTTCAACTCTATTTTTTTTCATGGCTAATCCGGATCCTTCAGCATCTGAAATCACTTCCCAGATCAACCCCTATCAATCTGATTTTCAGATTTCAGATTCATCTCTTTCACCGATAACCTCATACAAACTAAATGGAAACAACTACCTACCATGGTCCCAGTCCGTATGACTATATATCACAGGAAGAAGAACAATCGCCTATCTTTCTGACTCAATGCCGATTCCAGAAGAGACAGACCCAAAGTACAACACATGGCAGAGTGAAAATACCATGATAATGTCATGGTTAATAAATTCCATGATTCCTGAAGTAGGGGAGAATTTCATGCTATACCAAACTGCTGCAGAAATTTGGAATGCAGCGCGAGATACTTATTCCAGTGCTAACAATACATCGGAGCTCTTTGGGATTGAGAATCACATTAAAGATCTCAGACAAGGAGACCTTAGTATCGCACAGTACTTCAGAATTCTCAACAAGTATTGGCATCAAATCGACTTATATGAAAAGAATGAATGGAAGTGTCAAGAAGACAGCAACTTCTACAATAGGCAGACAAATTAGAGGAGAGTTTTTCAGTTTCTATCTGGACTGAATGGAGAGTTTGATGGAGCAAGAGGAAGGATTCTTGCCACCAAACCCCTTCCTTTGGTCCAAGAAGTTTTTTCAGAGATTCGGAGGGAGGAAAGCCGACGATCTCTGATGGTGCCACCAGTTCAGCGAACAGATGCTTCTGCACTTGTCACTAGTTCCACCTCTAGGAACCAACAGAGGAAAAATTGCCCCTGGTGTGAACATTGTAAGAAACCAGGCCATATGATAGATCAATGTTGGAATTTGCACGGAAAACCAGCAGATCGACAGCTCACACGGTCCAGGTTTCAAAAAGAGGCCCATATTGCCTCTCAAGATGATTCCTCCAGCAGTTTTAACAAGAAACATATAGAGGAGCTGCAACAAATTTTGAGCAGTATGACAGCCAAACCTACCAATGTGGCTTATACTGCTACTGAAGGTAATCATTCATATACTTCCTCGGTACAATGGATAATAGACTCAGGTGCATCAGATCATGACAGGAAACGTTGATCTCTTGGAGGAATATAGTGAAGCAGCTTACCAGCCTCTATAAATAGCAGATGGCTCTCTCACTACAGTCAAAGGGAGTGGTCTGTGACATTAACAAAAATCTACTACTTCATAATGTCCTCTATGTTCCTAAACTTGCATGCAATCTGTTGTCAGTCAGCAATTAATTCAAGATTATGGTTGTAATGTTGTGTTTGGTACTGGTGGTTGTATTTTTCAGGCCCATGACTCGAAGAGGGTGATTGGCAGTGCTAGGTTGGGCAAAGGATTGTACACCATTGGAGGTCAAGCATCTCAAAATCATGCCTTATCCAATGCTCTTAGAAAACCAGTTTTATCTTCTGATCTCAATACCAATAAAATTATGTTATGGCACTCTAGATTAGGACATCCTAATTTTTTCTATCTTTCCAAAATGTTATCAAACTTATTTATAAATAAATATCCTTCTTTGTTTTCCTGTGAAATTTGTCAAATAGCCAAACACACCAGAAAACCATATATTGCATCCAAATTTGAACCAACAACACCTTTTTCCATCATCCATAGTGACATTTAGGGCCCTTCTCTTATCAAAAGTATTTCTGGGTATAAGTGGTTTGTATCTTTTATAGATGATTACTCTAGGACAACATGTGTATTCTTAATGAGAGAAAAGTCTGAGGTTGAGTCTCTCTTTAAAAGTTTTTATCAAAAAGTTGAAACCCAATTTGACACAAAAATCAAAATTCTAAGGAGTGACAATGTGAGTGAGTATTTGAATAAAACCCTTGGGTATTTCTTTAAGGAAAAAGGCATTGTTCACCTTACTTCTTTTGTCAACACACCTCAACAAAACGGGGTAGCAGAAAGGAAAAATAGACATCTTCTAGAGGTTACTCGGTCTCTTATGTTTGTTGCTAATGCTCCTAAGTATCTTTGGGGGGAAGCTCTTCTTACAGCCACTTACATCATCAATAGAATGCCAAGTAAGACCTTAGATTTCAAAATTCCTACTAAGGTTCTGTTTCAGCTTTATCCCCATTTTAAACATTTAAACTCAAGTCTTTCTCTACGGGTGTTTGGGTGTACAACCTTTGTTCATATCCACAACAGAGGGAAATTAGATCCTAGGTCCATAAAGTGTGTTTTCTTGGGCTATTCTTTGAGTCATAAGGGTTACAAGTGTTACTCACCTTCCACAAAAAAGACCTATATCTCCTTTGATGTTACATTTTTTTTAAAACCAACCTTATTTTTCAGGAACAAAAATTCAGGGGGAGAGTTATAAGGAATTTCAGCCTGTCCAAATCGATATTCCTTTACAACCTATCATTTCTTTACCTATTACTGTCTCTCCAAAGCCGGTTAGCACTGTCCCAATTCCTAGTGAGCAAGAGAAGGAAAGATGTTGCTGAAGAAATTAGTCAGCCTAGCATTGCCAAGAACCAGATTGGATCCTGTTGCAGCTGGAACAGAAGGTAATGATGGTTCCCAAGATGCTATACTGTGATCTTGATGATTTTCTATTGCTATTAGGAAGGGGGTAAGAAATGCACTGCTCGTCCCATAAATAAGTAGTTGCATATGAGAAATTACAGTCTAATTCAGGGCCTTCACTGCAGCAAACAGTGTGAAAATCCCAAGAAATATGACAGAATCATTTCAATCTCCTGATGGAAAAAATGCCATGGAAGAGGAGATAAAGCGTTGCAAAAGAATAAGACATGGAGTTGGCAGATTTGCCAGAAGGGAAGAGAGTTGTTGGATGCAGGTGGATATTCACAGTCAAATATCATTCGGATGGGAGTGTGGAAAGATACAAGGCAAGAGGTTGCTAAAGGTTTTTCTCAGTCCTGGCATCGACTACCAGGAGACTTTTGCACTGGTTGCAAAATTGAATACCATCAGAATATTGTCATCAGTAGCTGTTAACATGGATTGGAAATTACATCAGCTGGACATAAAGAATGCTTTTTCTGAATGGGAACCTTGAAGAAGAGGTATACATGTAGGTCCCCCTGATTAGACTCAATAAGTCCTTATATGGCTTAAAACAGTCTCCCAGGGCTTAGTTTGATCGATTTGCTAAGGCCATGACACATAATGGTTTCAAACAAAGCCAAGCGGATCACACATTATTCAGAAAAATTGCACCGAGTGGTAAGATAATCCTCCTAATTGTCTATGTAGATGATATGATTATAACTGGCAGTGATATAGAAGAAATAGAAAAGCTAAAGATGAACCTTGCAAAAGAGTTTGAAACCAAGGATTTAGGGAGTATGAGGTATTTCCTGGGTATGGAAGTTGCAAGGTCCGAGGAAGGGCTGGTCATAAACCAGCGCAAGTATGTTTTAGATCTTCTTGCAGAAACTGGGATGCTCGACTGCAAACCAGTTGAAACTCCAATGGAGTCAGGCTTGAAATTTTGCAATGAAAGGACTGGAAATCCAGGAAACAAGGAGACCTACCAAAGGTTAGTTGGGAAGTTGATCCACCTTTCACTGACTAGGCCTGATATAGCATACTCAGTGAGTATTGTCAGCCAACATATGAGTGATCCTCAAGAAGAACATTTGGAAGCTGTTAACAGAATCCTAAGGTTCTTGAAGTTTACCCCAGGAGCTGGACTTATATTTAGAAAAAATCAAGACAGAACAGTGAAGGTTTATACGGATGCAAGCTGGGGAGGTGAATTAACTGATAGAAGGTCAGTTAGTGGCTATTATACCTACGTTTGGGGTAACTTGGTGACTTGGAGAAGTAAGAAACAAGTTGTTGTCTCTCGATGTAGTATTGAGTCAGAGTTTAGAGCAATGACTCTCGGAATATATGAAGGAATGTGGATTAAAAGACTGCTCACAGAACTGGACTTAGATGACAAGAAGAATTTTGAGATTTTTTGTGACAGTCAATCAACTATGAATATAGCAAAAACCCAGCGCAGCATGATAGAACAAAACACATTGAGATAGACAGACATTTTATTTACGAGAAGGTCAACAATGGAGTTGCAAAACTACAATACATTCCGACGAAGAAACAGCTGGCATATATCTTCACCAAATCCCTTCCACGAGTGACTTTTGATGAGTTGTCATTCAAACTGGGTATATATAACATATATACACCAGTTTGAGGGGGAGTGTAGGTTATGTAAAGTTGTAGGAATTATAGAAATGAGCTGTTCAATTCCTTAAATTAAGAGATTCTGTAATTATGCTTTGTTTTTCAATCCCTTTTCAAGGGATCGCATCTCCTAGGATTAGTATATTTCCTAACTTAGAGTTTCCTAGTTTAGAGGTATTATTTGTATATAAATATGTAATATACTCTACTGAATGAAATAAGAAAACATAACAGACTATTCTGTTTTCTACAGTCTGTTTTCTACATATACCAATGTAGATGGAGGGAGAAAATGGCTTGTATCTTAATGGAGATCATATGTGGGTTAGAACTTAGATGGTGAAACTGAAGTTGAAAGAAAGAGTTTTATAGCTGTGAAATTTAAAAAGGGAGTTCCTTTTGAAAAGAGCATTAACAGTGGATTTAAAATCTGGACTGGGCCTATTGTTTCAATCGATTGAATCAAAATTGATTAATTTGACTGT